ATTCCGTCAATATTAAATGTTCCGTCAATATTCCGTCAATATTAAATGTTCCGTCAATATTCCGTCAATATTAAATGTTCCGTCAATATTCCGTCAATATTAAATGTTCCGTCAATATTCCGTCAATATTAAATGTTCCGTCAATATTCCGTCAATATTAAATGTTCCGTCAATATTCCGTCAATATTAAATGTTCCGTCAATAAATATTAAATGTTCCGTCAATATTCCGTCAATATTAAATGTTCCGTCAATATTCCGTCAATATTAAATGTTCCGTCAATATTCCGTCAATATTAAATGTTCCGTCAATATTCCGTCAATATTAAATGTTCCGTCAATATTCCGACAATATCAAATGTTCTGTTAATATTAAGGTTATCATGCCGTCAGAATCTTATACCGGCACATGTCTAGGGGTACATTTCCAAAAACCATCGTTAGCCAATTAAAGTCGCAAGTTCCGTCATTACAAACATAGTTCATTAATTTGACGTTTCCCAAATCCATCACTCCAACGAACATGATCAAACTGCATCATAAACTTGTGTGCTTGCAGCTACACCTCTAGAGCTGCAATTAGAAACAGAGTTCCTGGCTGTGTTCTATTCCCTATGCCCTATTCATTTAGAACATTCCAACATTTAAACTTAGAGTTATTAAAATAAACAGCATTAAGCTCATCTCTCCTAGGTGTGATTTGCTTTTAGTGTTTTACAGTTCAGTTTTAGCCATCTTCATATTAATAACTGCAGTCTCTTTGTTTTTTAAAAGAGCATAGTGTAGAGCAGTAATCACAGTACTGTAAACCCTGATATTGTTATCCAAGATCATCACACCGTCTGAAGCTTATAATACTGGCCCATGCCTACTCGGTTGAAGAGGTTTACAGCTTTAAATACATAAACATTGGGTCTCAGGCGCGTCCTCGCTGGTGTAGCGAAGTAAACAAGTGAGAGAGTCTGGAAGCCTTCTAGAGGACGACCAGACCAATAAACCAGAGAAACTTAGCAAACTAAAGGAGATTAAACTAAACATGTCCAGCAGGGGGCGGCGCAGCTCTGCTCAGACGAATAAAGGACAAGCGGCGGCTTAGAAGGCGCTAAACTATCAGAATTAAGTCGTTAATATGAGTTTAAAAGCAAACTAGCGCTTAAAATATCACTTATGATCATAACGCTGGCTAAATTTGCATATGTTTTTGTTCTGTTTTTGTCTTTATTTTGGTTACTCGTAGTAGCTGAAAAAGCTCTATTAAAGGTCGACCTTATATAAAGAGAAGTGTATTTACAGAGCCGAACGCCGCTCTCTCAGCCTTCGCCTGCTCACAGAGTCACGTGACACCAGCTGTTCTGTGGGATATATGAAACATCACGGCAGTGGAGACTTGAATATAAATGAAGCCATAAAACTCAGCAGAGGCTTGTGCACTTTCACTAATGCACGCGTGTTTCATGGCAGTAAAGAGCATGGGAGAGGCTGTTGCCATGGAAACGTTAGGCTGATGCGGAGACTGGATTGATCATCACATTCACATCTCAGCGAAGGCCTCTTGAGCAGAGCAAACCCGTCTCAGATCAGATCAGATCGGCAGTCAGTCTCTGAGGTACAGTTATTACCCTGTTTCAACAGAAAGCATTAATTAGGTGTTCGTGATTGTATCTTCACAGAGGAGTGTAGGATGGAGGTGAAGTGGCCATCTGCTCCGCTGTTCTTGCGCTCGGCAGATGGACCTGCTCTTGTTCCCACCAGCTCGCCGAGATGAAGACACTGGTGTAAACATGAACTTCACAGGAAATGACATTTCAATTCTCTCAAGTTCTGCGTGTTCTGCTAAAATCTGGAGAGCAAACAGAATGCTCCGTCTTTCTCTGATTCTCACACGTCAGACTCGATGCTGGACAGTTTCTCGTACACGTGTCCGTTGCTGCCGTTGAAGGGCCGCGGGGGCCCGAGGCTGAGCTTGCTGGTGTGGTGGTTCCCCATGCACAGCTCCGCAGGGAAGCGCGGCGCCAGGCTGGACATGACTCCTGCGGGGCCGCTGTGCTGCGGCGTGTTCACGTAGTAGGACTTGCCTCCGTGCAGCAGACACTGGTCGTCTCCAAAGGTGGGGATGAAGGGGTTGTGGTTGGTGCGGTCGGGGTAGAGGGATTTGGATAGGGAGTGCGCGGGCCCCTCCATGAGTCCCCGCTCTCGTGGGTCCCTGTCCCCGAAGGAGCGGCGGTGGGGTGTGCTCTCTCCCGCTCGGTACAACCCGAACCCTGAGCCCTTCCCGTAGAACAGCGGGTCCTGCTCTGTGTCCTGCTCGGGACCCGCCGGATGCTCGAATATGTGTGCGAAGGGGCTGGAGGCGTCCATGCAGCGCTCCCGCTCTTTGAGGCTGACGCTGCGTGGCGGAGGCAACGCTGCTGGTCCGCCGAACCCCAGCGGGACACCGATCCCGCCTAACTCTTCCCTCTGCAGGTCAACAAAGGTGTCATAGGAATGCTGGCGGCGCAGCGGTTTCCCACTGAATGCCCTGCGGCGCTGAGCCGGCGTCTGCCCCCGGCTGCTGCTGAGCTGCTCCAGCAGGTGATTACTGTCCTCGCTGATGTCGTACAGGTTTCCTGACTTCTTGCAGGCGTCACAGCGCATGCAGGTGGCAGAGCTGGGCCGGCTGCTGCCCACCCCTCCTGATGCCCCACAGCCGCCACCGTAGGCTGTGCTGCCCGTGTGCAGGATGGCGCCCCCGTGCAGGGCTGTGGGTTTGCTGCCCGCACTGCTGGCTCGACAGCTCCGGCACTCCCACCCACCACTTCCGCTGCCGCTCCGGCTGTCCAGCTTCTTAGGTTTGCTCTTCAGGAACTCGTCCACAGACACCAGGCTGGTGCAGTTTCCTCCACCGCCGCCGCCCGGCCCATCTGTCAAATCCACATGCTCCCACTGTGGGACACCTTCTTTGGGCCGGAACTGGTCCAAGTAGAAATCCTTGAGGCTCTCCTTGTCCTGTAGCAGGTATGAGGTGGAGCTGACACCGCCACGTTTGCGCTCCGATGGAGGTGAGGCGGAGCGGTGGCCGTGGTGGTGATGGTGGTGGTGCTGGCGGCGGCGGTGGTGACCCATCTCGATCTCATCAAGTTCGCGTCGGGACTTTGCAGACGCGGGCCTCTTCTTCAGGCTGTCTCTGTACTGCTTTCGTTTTTTAGCATTGCCCTCTAGATTGCCGTAGGTGACTGTGTGAGTGGAAATATCGGACACGTCCGAGCGGATGTTTCCGTCATCGGCTCCGCCGCAGTACCGGTCATGCCCTGCGATGTACCCTGAACTGGACGCTCCACCTTTAAAGGAGAACTTCCCGTACAGGTCAGCCAGCCCCTGCTTTAGGCCCGGGCCTGACGGAGGAGTCTGGCTCTGCAGCAGGTCAAATTTGCTCATGTTCCTGTGGGTCAGGGCAGAGCGCGGCTGCGTGGTGAATATTGGGGCCACGCCGCCACCCAGGCTCTCACAGTCAAACATGCCACCCTCCAGAGAGCTGCTGGAGCCCAGGCTAAGGGGCCGGTTGGGCGGGGGGCCCGCTAACCCCAGGGCAGAGCCGCCATGGTGGTGCAGGTAGTGGTCCTGGTATAAGTTGCTGTCCTTCAAATGTAGGTTCCCAAAGGTGCGCTCCACCTCGCTGATGTAGTCGCTGAACATGTTGTCGTCAGGCAGGTATGGTGCTTTGCAGTCCGAGTGTCCGGCTAGGCTGCGGCGGTGCTCACTAATGTCATACACTGAAGACTCACGGCGGATGAAGTCCAGTGCACTGTGCGGAGAGCCGTTGACCCCGGAGAGAGACGCCATGTTCTTGGCGGTGCGCAGCAGACGCAGGATGTTGGAGTGTGTGTTGTTCATGGTGGCGGAGGGAGAATTCAGCGCAGAACTCTTGTCTTCAATCTCAACTCCATGAATACAGCTATAAATCTCCTGAGAGAGGCAGAGAGAGAGAAGCGTGTCAGTATCAGCTCCTGAAACTACACAGTAGCCAACATTTAAAGAGGATCATCGCCTTTCATTAAAGGTGTCCTACATCTACAGAACGACCCCCATTCTGGTGTTCAAGGTGTTTGGATCCTCTTCAGATGTTGGCTACTGTTCTCCACGCTGCATTACTGTGCTGTGTGTTCTGTGAGTGTGTTAGCGGCAGATTTACCCTGCTGATGGTGAAGGTGAAGCCTGGTTTCCCCGAGCACACACCCATGAAGCAGAAGCGCATGTGCCAGTAGAAGACGTGCTCCGCGATGAAGGTGATGAGGGACAGGGCCATGGCGGCGCCCAGCATGTAGAACACACCCGCCATATTGTCCACGTCCAGCTGGCTGCTCATCACCTCATTCTTCTCATGATGGCAGATCCCCGTCAGCCAGAGAGCCTCCAGCTCCTCCATCTCACCTACAGCACACACACACACACACACACACACAGTGAGCATGATGGGATGCAGCGCTCCTTTATAAACTGCAGATTGGCTGTATTTGTGAGCTCAACACTGCTGGTAGACACAATACAGCCATAATCTCAATCCAAATGTGACAGTGGCAGTGACCTGTGACATGAGCCTGAGCACACACTGCTCTCCTGCCTGACCTCTGCAGTATTCTCCTGAAACATCACGGCTCTCTTCTCCTCATCTGTGTGATCTGCTCTGACACAGTCTCCATGGTAAAGGCGCTGTAGGACTGAGGATGACTTGTGTTTGTGTGCTAGCGCAGGGATGCCTGCTTGTGTTCCGCTAGTAAAGCGCTTGGCAGATCTGCTGTGAGTGACTCAGCGAGAGCAGCTGTGCATGGGAACACACTCTTCACACACCGGCAGAATCACCGGACTAGCGTCTGTCTGTGCGTCTGCATGTGTGTGTGTCTGTGTTTACCGTCTCCGAATAGCTGCAGGATGGCCAGGTCCACCTGTCTCTTCCAGCCCGAGTCCTTCTGGATGGCGATGCCGTATCCGGTGGAGGCGAACACCTTCCCGGAGCCGATGGTCACCAGTTTGCAGCCCTCATCTCGGCCTGCCATGTAGTTCAGCACCGCCGCGTCATAGATGAACGCGTCCAGCTTTCTGTGGTTAAACACACACATGCGTTGAGAACCCTCAGTGTGTGTGTGTGTGTGTGTGTTTTGGGGAATATGTGTCTGGAGTCTCACCCTGTCTTCAGGCTCTCCAGGGCTTCGACCACGTTGCGCTGGTGGAACTTCACCATGTAGGAGTGCATGTCTCTGTAGTTATTGCGGATGTTCCTCTCGGTGCTGCCGTTCGGGACCGTCCCGAAGCGAAACGGAGGAGAGAAATCATTGGGATTCTGAAACTGAAGACCAAACACAGAGTGAGCAAACAAACGAATGGGCCATCTCCACCCAGCGGAGCGGTGCGGTTCACTATGGTACTGAACCGTCCTGTACTGAACCGCACTGCTGACTGTAGAGCAGGGGTCACCAAACTTGTGCCTGGAGGTCTGGTGTCCTGCAGAGTTTACCTCCAGCCCTAATCAAACACACCTGACCATGCTGATCAAGCTCTTACTAGTTGAAACACCCAGGCAGGTGTGTTGAGGCAAGTTGGAGCTAAACCCTGCAGGGCACCGGACCTCCAGGACCGAGATTGGTGACCCCTGCTGTAGAGAATCATGAGCTTCACATTCTCGATGGTCTACTGATGCACCTTCTTGTCGCTGAGGCCGGACACCTGGTCCACGTACTCCTCCTGGATCATGAACGCAGCCAGGTTAGCGGTGTAGCTGGCCAGGAAGATCACAGCGAAGAAGGCCCAGACGGAGACCATGATCTTGCTGGTGGTTCCTCTGGGGTTCTGCACCGGCACAGAGTTATTGAAGACCAGACCCCACAGCAGCCAGATGGCCTTCCCGATGGTGAAGGAGGGCCCGCCGGCCTCTGAGCACACACACACACACACACACACACAGGTCACACTCAAGGAGAGCAGTCTGTTCATCAGTGCTGACGGTGAAGAGAGAAACATTCTCTATCTGCTGCTGTTGGTCATCTACACAGCACTGAGCTCAGGTCACAGAGAGCGCTCAGACTGCAGTAGATGCTGCTCCTCATGAACCTGGAGCGTACAGCATCAACACAACACACTGAGCTGAACACTGCTCTCCCTCCTGTGACCCCGGATGTCTGCGGGGGTCAGAGCTCTATACTGAGAGTGTACTCAGACTGACCTCTGCCGTCTGCCAGACAGCGGTTGTAGCCCACAGGACTGAAGTACTCGAAGATGAAGACGGCGATGGCGGAGACCAGCAGCAGCATCACAAACATCATGATCCACACGTCTGCGCTGAAGGGCTCTGCCGGACACGACACACAGAAACAGAGAGAGACAGACAGGTCATTTACTGCAGACAGACAGACGGACAAAGAGAGAGACAAAGAGATAGATAGATAGACAGACAGACAGACAGACAGACAGACAGACAGACAGACAGACAGACAGACAGACAGACAGAGTCTCACCCAGGAAAGCGGAGGGGGAGACAGTGCCGTTGCTCCTGGACACCATCACACTGATGCCGGTCTCGATGAAGGGAACAGAGAAGTCGATGACCTCTGAGCGCTCCTCGTTTATAGTCAGAGAGCCCACGGCCATATGAGCGTTCTTCAGCACCACCTGCAGACACACACACACACACACACACACACACCTGCATGACCATTTCTGACAAAACCTCCACAATGCGACACACCACACCTTTACTCAGTGGATATTCTGACCTCAGATCTGCCGTTAGCTGATGATCAGATTATGTAGAGTGTATGCAAATCACTGCATAATTAATTAGCGAATACATTACAGCAGATAACAACATCACACTTACACAACAACACACTGCTGAACGTGTGTGACGATACGGCGCTACAGCTCCAGCCTCCACACTGACCAACTTATAGAGAGCAGTGTGTGTGTGTGTGTGTGTGTGTGTGTGTGTGTGTGTGTGTGTGTGTGTGTGTGTGTGTGTGTGTGTGTGTGTGTGTGTGTGTGTGTGCGTGTGTGTGTCAGATACCTTTATCACATGTCATAAATATATCACACACACACACAGCAGCGTCATCTACAGTCCAGACACTGACATGAGGAGATCTGAAGACGTGCAGCAGTGTGTGTGTGTGTGTGTGTGTGTGTGTGTGTGAGAGAGAGATTCTAGATCAACAACAGACAGTAAGTGGGTTATCAAGCTGTCTCTCTCTCCGTCTGTCTCTCTCTCTGTGTTGGTAAATTTAGCTCTAAATACCTGAACTCCACTTCACATGACTAAACTGGGGCACGACAGAGAGTGTGTGTGTGAGTGTGTGTGTGTGTGTGTGTGTGACGATGGGATGTGAGAAAAGCAGATTGAAACCATGCATATTTTTAAGAATAAAGACACACACACACACACACACACACACGCACACACACACACACAACCCTAAATGGGGACACCAGATCTGCTGTGTGTTTACAGAGGCCTGCAGCAGATAATGAAGATCTCACACACACACACACACACACACACACACACTCTCGTACCTCTCCCACCATGCCGTTCCAGGTGCCGTTGATCTTCTTGCCGTGTTTGCCGTTGGTCACCAGGTAGAGGTCGTAGGTGAACTTGACGTTCTTGGCGATCTTCTTGAGGATGTCGATGCAGAACCCTTTACAGCAGCGCTTGATGTAGACGGCCGAGTCCTGCGTCTGATTGCTGGAGCACACACACACACACATCTGCGTCAGTACCTGTATGTGTGTGTGTGTGTGTGTGTGTGATCACTGTAGTACACTCCTCTGCGCTACAGATATTAGCTATACTGCTAATGTGCTAATGCTAGTGTCTGGCTGTGTTGGTCAGCTGTGGTGTGTGTGTGTGTGCTGCGGCATCAGCTGTTTGTGGTGTGTGTTGTAGTGTGTGTGTGTGTGTGTGTGTATTCTGTGCTCATACAGGGCTTTGAGCTGCTTCCGGCAGGGTACGGTGTTCCTCATGCAGGTTCCGCTCAGCGGGTCCACGTCCTCCACGATGACGAACGGCGCCTCCTCCAGCGTCACGATGGACAGATGATCGTCCTCACGAGCCTCCGGCCCAGAGTACAGCTCAAACCTCGGCCACACGTGATACTTCATGGAGAGAGAGCCGTTCTCCCACTTACCTACCTGTGCGCACACACACACACACACGCGCGCACACACACACACACACACACAAACACACACAAACACACACAAACACACACACTTTAACATTGTGTTTAGGCTCACTTGTGAGAAATAATTCCCAATAAACACTAGAGAAGCAGACGTCACTCAGCTGATGGATCATAGTAGCTTGTGTCGGATATAATTTACCAGCAGACAAAGCAGATATTTTATAGCATACGCAAACACACACACATAAACTCACCGGCCACTTTATTAGGTACACCTGTCCAACTGCTCATTAACATAGATGTCTAATCAGCCAATCACAGGGCAGCAGCTCACTGCATTTCAGCATGCAGACATGGTCAAGAGGATCTGCTGCAGGTCAGAGCGAGCATCAGAATGGGGAAGAAAGGGGATTTTAGTGATTTTGATCGTGGCATGGTTGCTGCTGCCAGACGGACTGCTCTGAGTATTTCAGAAACTGCTGATCTACTGGGATTTTCACGCACAACCATCTCTAGGCTTTGCAGAGAATGCTCCGACAAAGAGGAGATATCCAGTGAGCGGCAGTTCTGTGGGCGCAAATGCCTTGTTGATGAGGCCAGAGGTCAGAGGAGAATGGCCAGACTGGTTCCAGCTGATAGAAAGGCAACAGTAACTCAAATAAGCACTCGTTATAACCGAGCTCTGCAGAAGAGCATCTCTGAACACACAACACGTCCAACCTTGAGGCGGATGGGCTACAGCAGCAGAAGAGCACACCGGGTGCCGCTCCTGTCAGCTAAGAACAGGAAACTGAGGCTACAATTCACACAGACTCACCAAAACTGGACAATAGAAGATTGGAGAAACGTTGCTGCTCTGATGAGTCTCCATTTCTGCTCACACATTCAGATGCTCGGCTCAACAACATGAAAGCATGGATCATCCTGCCTTGTATCAGCGGTTCAGGCTGGTGGTGGTGGTGTAATGGTGTGGGGGAGATTTTCTTTGGGTCCATTAGTACCAATTGAGCATCAACGCCACAGCCTACCTGAGTATTGCTGCTGACCATGTCCATCCCTTTATGAGCACAGTGTCTCCATCTTCTGATGGCTACTTCCAGCAGGATAACGCAGCATGTCATAAAGCTCAATCATCTCAGACTGCTGAACATGACGATGAGTTCACTGTACTCAAATGGCCTCCACAGTCACCAGAGCTCAATCCAATAGAGCAGCTTTGGGATGTGGTGGAACGGGAGATTGGCATCATGGATGTGCAGCCGACAAATCTGCAGCAACTGTGTGATGCTATCATGACAATATGGAGCAAAATCTCTGAGGAATATTTCCAGCAGCTTGTTGAATCTCTGACACCAAGGATTAAAGCAGATCTGAAGGTGAAAGAGGTCCAACCCGGTACTAGTGAGGTGTACCTAATAAAGTGGCCGCCGTGTGTACACACAATTAAGCTCAAACACACATGCACACATATACAGACTCACAGGCACACTGGTATTGGTGGTTTCTGAGGACTCTTCATGGGTGTAATGTCTTTCACACAGTAAAAAACAGATTATAAGCCCCTCCCCGTCTCTCCCTCATGAACACATTGGTGATTGTTTCTGTCGTCTGCTCATACAACTGTCTCTCATCTAATCATCTGACCAATCAAATGCTCTCTAGTGTCTGACAAGCCCCACCCCCTTATTCTCATTGGCTGTTCATTTGATGCAATTGAGCTCAAACACTCCCACTGGCAGAGCTGTGAGGAAAACAAACACTATTGGCTGCTTTTATTAAGGGGAGGAGCTACTCTATGCATGAATAAAGCATGCGCATCACAGCCCCTTAAACATGTCGAATTACAAGAACACAAGACAGGTCCCCATAAACCCCCTCATCATTGAAATGCAGTATACCCATCATATCTGTGTCCTGGTGAACCACCCAAACCAGTACACACACACACACACACACACACACACACACCTCCTTCACAGAGACAGACAGGCATGCGCATCTGCTAAACACACACTTTGAGCCATGAGTCCACTGGATGAAGATGATGATGGTGATGATGATGATGAAGATCAGCACAGACTCCTCAGAGCTCAGGGGATGTTCGGGTGTGTCTTACTCTGTCCCACTGCCGCTCCTTATCCAGCAGGATGATCACCAGCTTAGGGTGCATCTGATAGCCGTCCTCACTGAACGACAGATTGCGGCCCTCGAACGTCACGTTCATCAGGTACCTGACACACAAGCACGCACACACACACACACACACACACACACACACACACAAGCACGCACACACACACACACAGTTATTAGTAGTCTGTGTGTGTGTGTGTGGTGTAGTGTGTGAGTGTGTGTATTGTGTGTAGTGTGGACCCCACCTGAGCACCTCGTTGTTGTTCCCCGTCATCGGGCTCTTCTTGTCCGGGGCCCCGTGGCACTCAGACTTCAGCAGCGTGTGCGGCCCGCGGTCCATCATCATGGTGGAGGTTGCCGTGGCGATAACAGCCACACCATCACGCACACGCGCCTCCAGCCCATAATCCCACTCATCATACGACACTGAGATCATGCCTGCGCACACACACACACACACACACACACGTGTCAGAGAACATCTGCACCTACAGTGTGTGTGTGTGTGTGTGGGATGTGTCCAGATGTACGTCACCTGTCGGAAACTCCGCCGGGATGTGATCAGCGTCTCCGGCCACCAGCGAGGGCACGATCCAGGTGTACCCGTACCCCGTGAGGCCGACGGAGTGCGCCACCTGGAAGATGATGTTGGCCTCCTCTTTGGTGGAGTAGAGCAGGATGACGGGGCTCTGCAGCTTCTTCAGCAGGTTCTGGATCTTAGCGTCTCCGTCATCCACAGACATGTCCAGCAGCAGCACCTCCTCCAGCTCCCAGCCCACAAAACTGTTCTCGATGGTGCTGCGGATCTACACCAGACCACAGACGCGTCAGAACAAACAGCAGAGGGCGCTCTAGGCTAGAGTTTAACAGCAGAGGGCGCTCTAGGCTAGTGTTTAACAGCAGAGGGCGCTCTAGGCTAGTGTTTAACAGCAGAGGGCGCTCTAGGCTAGTGTTTAACAGCAGAGGGCGCTCTAGGCTAGAGTTTAACAGCAGAGGGCGCTCTAGGCTAGTGTTTAGTTTTTATAGCTGATGTGGTATCTGAAGAATGTTTTTCAGAACTCTAGATTAGATGTCAGGTGAATGTTAGCGTCGTTCAGCCTCTCAGGGTGCGTTGGTGTATGGGTCGGTCGTTCTGTCTGTATATCTGTTAGTCTGTCTCTCTGTATGTCGGTGGGTCTCTCTGTCTGTCTGTCTGTCTGTGGTGTGCTTTACCTTGGTGACAAAGTCCTGGTATCCGGGGTAGTATGTGGTGACTATGGAGAAGATGTACCAGTCGTACTCCTCCATGATGTTGAGCATGACGGACGCCTGCTGCTCAATGGAGGGGCCGAACTGAAAGAACATGGAGTTATCATCCTGCGGACACACACACACACACACACACACACACACACACACAGGAGCACATCAGTGAGTGTGTTAGTGAGTGTTCAGACTCAGCATCACCCCTCTCCCTCTCTCTCTCTCTCTCTCTCTCTCTCTCTCTCTGCTGTTCATATCAGCACTGGACTCGTCTGGATGGTGAAGCGGTTAATAATTGATCTATTTCCTGATATGATCTGTGGCTCCAGCTGGAGATGCTGGTGTTCAGAGCGCTACACTCACCGCTTCATTTCTCAGCCTGTGTCAGCGTGTGTGTGTGTGTGTGTGTGTGTGTGTCTCAAGTGTTTACATTTTACAGCTTCATTGTATGACTTCATTTCAACTGAAACATGAGCGCAGGGCGGGGCCTCAGCTAGCCCCTCCTCTTTCCTAAAAAACAGCCAGTAGAAAAGGAGCATTTTCACCTCCTGATCACATGACCCAGACAATAAATAATTACGTGACCTGCTGGATCACAGGAAATGATCACATGACTCAGATGGGAAATGATCCTATAGTGTCACCTAAATCGTA